AGTCGGAGGAACGGCTCAATCTAGGTCTCAGGCGAGGGATCATCTCGGTCTCCTCCGCCTTTGTGTGGCACAACAATGGATGAGCGATTGCTGCCAGTCATTCGGATGGGATGACCTTTCAGCCTCTCTCTATTCCGAACCATCAATCAACCGAAAACCGAAAAAACGAACCTAAAAAGAAGCACAAGAAAATTGTTTAAAACGGAAATGAATCCACGCTTTGGACATTAACTGTAATTGCGCACACACACGCGCTTTGCCTGTCGCTGGCACAAAGATACATTTGTATCCCATGACGCACCAACGAGTTCCAGTTTCTACGGGTTCCCCTCTCCACACACAACCCCACATAATGACCTTGTAACTCAACTGTCAACTGTCACCACACGCAGCAGCAGTGCCAGCCACAGCAACAGCAACAGCAGCGGCAGGCGGAATGGCGGAATGGCCAACAGCAAATCAATAGCCCCAGCCACAATTTATAGTATCCATGGCCATAAATTGGTCCGCGCCGGCACATGTCATGACTTTGAGGGGCAGCAAACCGAAAGAATTCTGGCCAAAATAGGCCCAGAGGGGGGGACTTTGAGTGGACAACTCAAAGGAGAACAGAGGCGCAACAGCGCTCATTATCATATGAACAAAAGGGCTCTTGCTGGTTGCATCGCATAAGATTTTTATGAATTTATAAGGAAAGAAAGTCAAGGAGGGGGAAGGGGCATCTAGGCGTCTGGCAATCTTATAAATATTTAATGAGTGCAATTTTCAGCAGCAGCAGAAGCAGCAGCAGCTCCAGCTTCAGGGTTCTCCAGTTTCCGTTTCAGTGGATTTTCAAGAATTAAACTCGAGAGTTCCATCAACAGAAGTGGAAGCTAGGCATCTTGTATTTCACTTGGAGTTTTGTTTATTCAAAGGTACATCAAACAGTGTCCATTAGATCTACGCGAAAGCCCCATATAGTTCCTGGAATCAGCTAAACGTAAATCATCTTGATATTCCCCAGTCCACTCTTTAGACTCTGAGAAAATGCATAACTCATGAGAGGCATATGTACATATGTGGGGTATGTGATAAGAATTCCCCAGTAGCTCTTGGATATTTATGTATATTTAATATTGCAGAAGCAGTGATGGCTCTCTGGGGCGGACACAGACACCCCTCTCGCAAGGGAGTCTATCCGTTCGCTCAGCAGGGCTTTCACTGTGTCAGAAAGTGCTTATCGCCAGTGAAAAATGTATGTTTTTTTAAGCGCAGTCTTAGGATAAGCGAGGGACAGCCAAAGGCATGGCACAGCAACCGAGATTAGGGTAGAGAATAATGTACAGAGAGAGAGGGAGAGAGAGAGAGCAACTCAGATACAAGTACAAATAGTTTGTGCGATATCTTGTACTGAGATTCTGAAACTTCCGCAGCTGCAAAGGCCAGAAAGCAGAGCCTAGCCCCCAAAGCAAACCCTCAACCCCGTAATGAATTACGCGCCAGAGTTCTCTCTCCTTTTGAAGGAACGCAAACAACAGCAGTAAAGGAGCCGAAAAGACAGCTACAGCACACGAAGGATATCGGAGAAGAAGGAAGTCCGAGCAGGAATGAATGAGTGCGAGAGTGCGAGAGTGGGAAGTGGCAATGGGGGGCTGTGGGGGAGTACACATAAAAGGCGGCTAAAAAGTTGTATTCAAGCATTGTTATCATCACGGCAGAAGAGAGCACAGGCATTGTGAAGGGCACAACAAACCAGAAACAAACAAAATATGAGAAATGAAAAATAAACCCAAAATCAAGCAAAAGACCAACACAGAACTCTGGACAAAAGATCTCTTTTCCCGCTCCAGCCCGTGCCCCTGCTCCGAGAACAAGTTTCTTCTATATGTTTACAGCTGGGTTATGGGGCATCCTTGGAGGATGGATTCCTTCCAAGGAGCAACTTTCTTCAAAGGGAAATTACTGGGTCAGCACAGTAAACAACTCGAAACATGGAAGGAAACCAAAAAGCTGTACAGGAAATAGGGTATTCTCGGGCCAAAGATGATTGGATTGCAAAACTATTTTGTTGCACTAAATATAGCATGAAAGATGCGCAGCTCGGAGGGAATTCCTGAAAGATTCTCCCATCGAAAATACTCCCACTCAGAGCTACGTTTTGCAATTATTTTCGGGCAACCGAAACCCTGGAACGTGCCCCGAAAACACTTCCGCCCTGAATCCCTCCACTCTGCCGTTCTGCCGTTCTGCTGCTCTGACGCTCGTTAGAAGATATCGAATGTACATATTCGATCCAGAGACGGAGGAACGTGCAATGCAACGTTCAAGAAGAGAGACACAGAACAGTGTGCATCATTTTTTTCCCATGTACCACATTTTGACAACTGTTTTTTTGTGCTGTTTCGCTCGGTTTCTGTTCGGTTTGGTTTGGAACAGCTTTTTCTGGCGCTTTTTTTCAATTGGAGAACGTGCAGACGTGCAAAATGCAATAAGGCAGGTCGAATAAGAGGTAGTAGAGTAGGGTGGTTAGCAGTTGATAGGGAAATTCCGAGGCAACGGCAACAGCTGTTGAAAAGCAGACGGCGGAGAACACAAAAGATACGAAAAACAGAACAGAACCGTGCCGACGGTCTGGGGTCTGGGGTCTGGGGGCATGATGTAAGCTCCACTAAGGAGGACTAATATGTGGAGTGATTAATTCATTGAAATTAACATAAATGGCAACAGCTTTAACTTTTACCCGAGGACCGCAGGTGGGCTACACAGCACACCCCTTCCTCGTCTCTCGATCCCCGTTGCCCGACATAAATAATTAAAGTTAATTGCGGCCGCTGCCTCTTAATGATGCAACGAAGCATCAAACGAGCCACAGAGAGAGAGAGAGAGAGAGAGAGAGAGAGAGAGAGACCTCCGGCGACCCCAGACTCGGTTTCAGCCATAACTTCAGCTCGAAGCCACAGGCCTCTGAGAAAGCCAGAAACTCGTTTTTAGGAAAATGGAAATGAAATTAAACGGAACCCTCGCCCAAGGGTCGTCACAGGCGACAAACGAGAGCGATAAAGGTGATTTTTGTGGAATTAAACAAATACGAAATAGAAATATAAACCCACTTGACGGGGTTCGAAAAGAGCTGGCCATGGGGGTTCCCCCGCCCGAGTCGCTGAGAAATGCCATTTTCACCTGATTTTCTTGCTCTGGCTAATGGAGTCATTTAAAGGGTTTCTCGAATGGCCAAATGACGGTCTAAAGGTGCCGAAAACTGCCAAAAGAGAGACGCACAAAAGTATGCGTAATGTCAGCACAAGTCCAAAGCACAAAAGGAAATGTTGAGACACATCATCATCCATAAGGAGATGCTCCTTAAAGCATACAAAATTACAGGCACTGCGGGTGTCTGCTCAAGAGTGGATGTTCCCGGCATGTCCCGCATTCCCCTGCAGATAATAAACGACTCAAGAGAACAAAGCAAACTGTCAACCATTCGGTTGCCAAATTATTCCACTATGACATCTGCAATCCAAGGCAAAGATAACCCGGTACGGGGCGGCTACACTTGGCCCCAAAAGATATACAATTCCAACTGAAGCATTCTAATCTTATCTTATCTCTGAGTACACAGCCATGAGTAATGGTGCAGTGGAGGAGAACACACACAGAGAGTGGAGAATCCAATATAATAAAATTTCAAAATTAATTAGAAGACCATAAAGGAGGCTCTTCGCCAGCGCCTTGCCCCTCGCCGCTGACACCAATCCATCCAGCTGTCTGTCTATTTTGGGCGGGTCTCACTAGCAATTCCAGCCCCTTGCTCGGGGGAGCCGCCTTTGATAATTAATAACAAAGACAAGTTTTTCGGTTTTTCTCGTGGCTAGATTCTAGGCCAGGCCCGACCAGAGCAAAACAAAACCCGGCAAAACGCACAGAGAGACGCGAAAACAACAAAGAGAGGAGGTAAGCGAGCGTTAGAGAGAGAGAGAGAGAGAAAGCTTTGGGTGAGGCTAGGACTAAGAGCTGTAGTGGAGAGGGTAGTAGGGGGTAGGGGCGGTGGGTAGCGCTAAAAGCTGACATTACAAAGCCAAACGCAAAAACAAAGCTCGCGAATTCAACGTTTCTTCCACCTCCCTCCCTCGCTCCTCTGCCAGACACAGCTGTGGGGTCGGCCAGGAGGCGCAGCATAAAAATCAAATGAAATTTATTGATTTTTTCTTTTCATACACGGGCCATGCGAGGGGCCAGCCAGTGCCAAAAAAGAGAGCAAAACAGAAAGCAAGCAAAGTCAAGGAAATGGCCAATAAAAAGTCATTTGCAAACAAAAACACGAAAATTTCACACAGAGAGTATAAAGAATCGTGGATACCCTTTCTCAAGGGAATAGTTTAACATCTTTGCAGAGAGGACTCACTCTCCCTCTTTCTCTCTATTGCGAATTTATTCCTAAATAAAGATCTCTCTCGTTCACCCACTCCTACTATCAGTAGCGGCAACAACAGTTAGGCGTCCCACTGCAGACAGAAAGAGAGACAAAAAGTCATTGCACGAAGAGCATGCGGAAGAGCTGTGAAAGAGAACTCATGCAAGACGAAGCAACAGCAACAACAACAATGAGTAGAAGGTGGGGTTTGGATGAGAACCTAAAGCAACACAAGAAGAAAAAGAAGCAAAAGAAGAAGCAGTGCCATGTAAAATGTCAGTCCAAGTTAACGGGACACCACGCGGCGGCAGAGACACGCAACAAAAACAAATGTTTGATCTGTTGTCATAGGCGAAAAGGGAAGGGGAGGCGTCGAGTTGCAAGCCGAGGCGAGGCGAGGCGCCAGTAGAGGCAGCCGCAGCAGGTGCTGGGTGCTGGGTGCTGGGTGCCGTCGCTGAGGTTGCGCGACTTGGGACAGAAAATGTTCCATTCAACCCCCATAGAACCCGGTCGGTCGCGTGTCGTAGGGAAGAGTGGGGGAAGTCTAACAAACAAATTTGAGTGCTTTCCTCCTCCGTCGCAACGTTAAATTTCCACCCGTTTCACTTACCCCGGGCAATCCACCTGCTGGAATGACTCCTTCTCTTTCCCACTGGTGCTGATGGATTCTCCTTTTACTCCTGCACTCTCTTCCGATTCCTTGGGTTCTTCAGCTTCTGCAGCAACTTCTCTTCAGCAACCAAATTTATGATAAACACTCTCTTACGCAGACTGCGCCAGGCGGCTTCTGTGTTTTTTTGTTGTTTTATTTATTTGTGAAGATTATTTTATGTTAAGTTTTTTTCCCCGATTGATTTAGAGCCGCACGCTACGTTTCGTTTCGATTTCAGAGATGTGAAATTTACGGGGAGAATTGACGCTAATAATTCGTAATTTTTGGCCATTTATTCGATTTGCATTTCTCTTTCGCACCTTCACAGCTGATTGCGGCCCACTGCTGTTGTTATTTTTGTTGTGGCTGGAGCTGTGCCACTCTTCACACTCGCACAGCAATGCACAGACACTATCACACACGCTCACACACACATGGGAACGGCACGCACACACTGACACACACCTGCGCGCGTAGAGGTGTGCTCGTCGGCGGACTCTTCACGTACTTTTTTGGTTGGAAGAAGAGAAATGCAACGCGGTCACCTCCAACTTCCAACATCCAACACTTTCAAAGGCAAAAATTCGAATGGAGCGGCAAGGCCGTGGATTTGCTAGCTAAACGCGCCAACGAGCGGCCACATGTTCGAGTTCGAGCACCACATAACAGAGCTGGTTTCTGGAGTCGCAGCTAGTAACTACAACAAAGTTCGATTAGACCAGCACGTTGCAGCATGTTCGAAGCGAACTCAGGTTCACTTCTTGCTGTGTGCTAAAAATGTACTGATAAGAGACACTGACTGAGGGTTTGTCGTGGCTGTTCTTGATGTTGGCAGAGGCCTGCGAATGACAAATGTGCCCCTATATGAAAGACATTATTTGTATCAGCCAGACAATAGTGTGGGAGTGAGAAAGCGAGCGGCAATGGCAGCGGAAAGAGATTGTGGTGCTTACAGCAGAGTTATCTACCCTAAAGAGTCGCTTACAGGCCTTTAGTGTCTATATGGAATTTCTTTGGTTAGCCTTTTTTCCACTTTATAGCTAGCCTGCTCATCACTATGGCAACATCAAGCTAAGATGTTTTGGTGATTTTATGCCGGCTCCCAACTCGAACACGCACATGTTGGCCGCTGCACTTGTCGCTCGAACCCCTCCGGCATGCACGTGGCTCATTTGCATTTACTTTTTCTGGTTTTGTTGCTGCTGTTGTTGCTATCGCTGCTGTTGTTGTGGTTGCAAGGCACTGTTGCAGACGATTTTTGGATATGGCTTAAGGCGGTTTCCACCCATGAACGTTGACCCTGTCCATACTGCAGTTCCCATTAACTTTCGTCTGTCGACTGTCTCTCCCGATGACAAGTGCCGAAAATCGACCGCAAAATGTACTTCTTTCCGAAGCCTCCCCCCTCTCTCGCACCCACCTCTTTGTTATGGCTCCTGCAATTGAAACATGGCCAAGAAAATATGTGGCAGGAGCGAGGGAGGGGCTCGGGGCGAAGAGAGATGACACCAATCAACTTTCCTCTGCCGCATTTTTCTTTTTACGCATTGCAAAAGTTTTCAGTTTTCTGTTTTCTGTTTTCCGTTTTCTATTTTCCTGGCGACGAAACTCGTTTTCTCGGGTTTTCGCCATCAATGAGCCACCAATTTTCTGTTGGTTCAGATGCAATTTCATACAGCCTGTACATAAATTGAAAATATTGCCATAGATATGCATGAGCTGTGCTTATTTACGAATCGAAGTAGCTTTACTGGAACAATCATCAAATGTGTAAGCCACAAACAAAAATCTCCCAGTACCCTGGACATCTCTCAGTTGTTTCCCTTTATTCAGCATTCTCCCTACTTTGAATATAGTCTATGTGCCACCTGTACGATGCAGTGGCTTCATTTGTGGAGTGTTTTTTCGTTGGCGCTGCCAATTTGCCGACCAATTGAAAATGCACTGCACGCCCCAGACAAAAACTCATTTGCAACACTTCACGCAACGCCGGCGATTTCGATTTAGCCAAGATCAAGGGCGATAATGCCCGCAGCAGCACTGCACGGGGGCTTCGGGCTACAAAGGGGGAGGCGGCGTAGAGCGGGAGAGCTGTAGCTGGACGGGACGGAACGGGACAGACACGACAGCGCATTGCGTGCAACAACGTGCTGCAGATATAAATAGCCGGCAGCCAGGGCAGCTTGCAAACTTGCAACTTGCCCCTTATCCAGGCTGGCTGATCTTTACGCACAGGAGGCACCAGCAGCAGCAGCAACAACAACATTCCTTTCGACATTTAATTAACGATCGCGATTGCAATCAATGCAGGGCTCCTCTCCTGCCTCCTGCCTTCCCCTCCTTCCCCACAGGTACCACATCCCAGCCCAGCCCAGCCCAGCCCAGCCCAGCCCATTCCAGAGTTTGGTGAATGAGTTGGCGGTGGCTCGGGTAACTTCTGGCAGTGGTTCGTTCTCGTGGCTGTTGCGGTGGCCTGTTAGCCGGAGCTAAGCTGACAAATACTGTAATTAATTTTAATTGCAGCGATTGGCGCTCGCTTTCCGTCTCATTAAAGCTTTAACTCTGGGCCCAATGCTAGATTTTAATATTATGATAAACCCGCGGGGAACTTCAATTTAAAGTATGCCTCCGCGGCATCTGTGTCTGGGCACAGACCATTCCATTCCTCTTGCCATTCCTGGTACGTGTTTTTGCCCCTAATTGCAGAAAATGTCGCGTGGCAAACATTTTCTCGCCTTTCCATCGAGGCAAACGTATCCAGAACGGGATACGGCGGGACAACAAATAATCGCAAGTGGCAAGACTGTGGTAGAACAGAACGGCAAGGAAAAGGGCGCAGAATGTTGCTTTCGGATCTCTGGATCCTGGCAGATTTCTCTTTCATTTCGATCGGCGATCAATAGAGACAGAAATCTGTTTACATAAGTCAAGAGCACAGCATACCCTTCATCCATACGACTTTCGGGGGTATCATAAATACAAGCAAATGCACACACACACACACACACACACACACACACACACACATATGTATGGCTTTCAATATTTTCTGCATACACTTGCACTTTGGCCAAATGGAGTGGAGCAAAGTGCGAAATGGGAATAAAAATGTTCTTTCATTCTGTCAGGCACTGCGGCGTGTGGGTGGAGGTGGAGGGGTGCTGTGAGCATGGCGCCCGCCCCACCCCACCCCACCCCATTGGAGGCTCAAGTGGGAATAATCATATAAAAAATACTTTTCGTTTGCAGTTCATTGAATGAGAGCAAATCCAATTAGATGTTGACTTGGCATCAAAAACGGGCACCAAGCCACCCGCTAGACACACTCACACACACAGACACAAATGGAGTGCCAAGAGGGAGCCAAAAATTGTTGCATACTTTGCAGCGTTTCGTTGGGTTCGGGCGAGGTGGCCAAAAAAATGTTCATTAAGTCAATTTCCATGCCACAACATTACACTTTGCTGCACTTTGCAGCTGCATCTGTGTATCTGTGACAGTTTCAAGGGAGTTCAAGCAAACACCCATACATATGCATGGAGTTTTATGATTATTGATTTTGCAACCAATTAAAATGCAGGCAAAACGCAACAGTTTGAGGTATCCTTGAGGCTGTGTGTCCTAATTTGCATAAGTAAGAGGCTTAAGAAAGGATAATTCATAGTTCAAAGCTCGCAAATTGTATAGTTTTTGGTGGCAGTAAACCCTCGGAGAAGCTAAAAATCATCAAAGGATCAATCAACAGCAAATATGCTTTAAACATTTCATGCATTACCCCAGATAAATTCCATCCCAAGGCTACTAGTAATCCTTATCCGATTCACGTCCAATTAAGCGCCGCGCAGCATTCAAGCGCCAGTGTAAAGGTGTTTTATATTTATGGAAAATGAAACATTCACCGTTGGCATATGGCCGGACTTGATGGGTAATTAATCAATTTAATATCAATATGATTACCGATATTATATCGGCAGACGAATCCACATAAAAAGTGTCGCAAAATGCAAAAAGTTACACAGGCACACACACAATCACACAATTAAGGTGCCATAAACACATGATATGCAAGGATGGAGGTAGGAGCCAGCAGCAGGGATCGTAAAAAATGCTGCCAACCAGCCAGAGCCAGAGCCAGAGCCAGAGCCAGAGAGCCAAAAAGTTGCAAAGTGCAATTTGAAAAACAGTAAATAAGTCGCGGGTCGGGAGGCAGGCACTGGGGAGTGTCACGTATCTGCCCCAAAAGTCACGGAAGTATTTTCGCATACGAGTCCGGGATCTACATATCCGTGCGGCGGATGGCTGACTGGCTGGCTGGCTGGATGGATGGATGTAGAGGCGGCGGCAATGACATGACTTGGCAGCAATTTCTATGCCCAAAACCCGCACCATTTTCCTGCCACACGGCTCTGACAAATGGCCCAAAGAAACGACGAAACGAAACGGAGCAGTAGGCGTGGCTGTACAGGTGTTTTGCGGTAATCGGGGATGACGGGCAGGAGATGTACTGCACTGTACATTCGCCACGAAGGTGCAGCTGAGAAAGACGAAAATTTATGATATTCTCCTACTCCGACTCGCTGTGCTCCTTTATTGAATCCCACCAGGCAGGAGCGGCGCGGCGCTGCTGGTGCGATTTGTAACCAAACGAAATTGAAATACCATCCAGGGAGCAGCAGCAAGGAATGGCAGAGAAGAGTTCAAGTCAAGTTGGGGAATGTTTAAGCCGAAAATATGATTCGATTGGGGTAAGGTTAAGTTGGTTTGTTTTACGTGCAAAATAGGGCTGCTTATTTCCAAAGTAACTTCAATTTAAAGAGTTAAGTTGAAGAATTTCATAGACACAGGCTGAAGAATCCATCAGTGAAAATGTGGTTAAGCTGCGGGGGATTCAGTTTCAGATTCCCTCAAGCTTTGAGCCACTCGACCCCAGAGCACCCTTCGGGGCAAATCCCATTGAAGGTCAAAAGCTGCTTACACCGCGAGGCAGGATCTTCTTGCACCTCAGGCTGGCTGGCTTTCAATTGAGTTGTTTGTCGGCACTCAAAGCCCACCCCCCCACAGGGCACACGCACACGCACATTCTGCTGCTGGTGGAAGGAAGAGGCTGGCATAGTTGTGCTGCAATGTCCTTGCCATGCCACCGCAATCATAATTAGTATCCTGTGCAGACATGTGCAGACACACACACACACACAGGAAGGCAGGTGGCTTTGTTGGCCAGTGATATATTGGCATTTAAGCCAGACAGACACAGAGACAGCCACTGGCACTGGGCTTTAAAAGGACACTGAATGAATAATGCCAACCAATTTGCCTAGACGACAGGCGACAGGCGACGAGCGACTAGCGACTAGCGAGGGTCCTGCGGCCCTCACAAGGACTTCATTAAACTGCAAAAATAGAATTAGAGCACATAGCAAAAGGCTGAGCAGCTTAATGGCAGCTTAGACCCCAATTAAAGGCAGTAGAGGACAGCGGAGGATGGGACAAAAACCAAAACTGAAGAAACAGACAAACATTTTCACGCTGCCAGACAACGGCAATCAGCAGGATGGACAGCAGTGGCCAGGGAGGGATGCTGCTCCGGTGATGACCATAAAACACCTTGGCTAATTTCCGCAAATTGTTACAGCCGACGAGTGAGAATGAATGGCGCCCCGAACGGGTGGGCAAATGATTAAGGAGAGCAGAACTAATGGAGGAGCGGGGAGTAAGAGCTGAAAGGATATTCAGGCTTCTACTGCTTCCACTTGAGTGCAGCAAAAACAGAGAAAAAAGAGGACAATATATCGTATCATATCCTCCGCCCAGATGGAACAAATTGGCTGGGGATGTTGAGCGTCTGAAAGTTACAACCGAGCAACAGGAGGAGTTCTGCTGGGAGTACACGTGATCGAAGGTTCACCACTGATGGATTAATTAGGCAAAGTCCAATGCCCGTTGTGGCCATGTGTGGCACGTACTTGCTGTTGCTGTTGCACATCTGCCTGGAAAGCTGGCAAAGACTTTCTGTACGATAACCTCTACGGCTATGGTTCTATTTTCGCTGCTCCCAGACCATCAATTTACAGTGCCAAAGTGATAATGAAAGTGTTTCCTTCCTGCCAAGAGAGGAGAAGCGAAAACACTCGAGAGACAAGAGAGGATATGCGAACGGTTCGATACTCTGCAGGGATTAGCATTAAAAGTAGAAAAATAACTTGAAAACTTCCTTCACCTTTCTTTTCGTCCTTCCTCCGAAGGAAGCGCACTCGCAGCTCCTTCTGCCCCACTGTTTCCATCCATTCATCTTTCAGCTGTGCGCACTCCGCTGCGCTTCGTCGCCTTCTGGCGCTCACTTGGCTTGTTTATTGTTTTCCGCTCAGCGAGAAATTCAATTTCGGCGGCAAACACACAAACAAACCCCCACAAAGAAGCAGGGGAGTCCACGAGAGCGGGAAAGCAGAGCAAATGAAACGCAGCAGCAATTGCTCCAATTGCATTTGGCTTTCGCTGCAAATCCAGGCTGCTGCAGTCTGTGGCCATGCCACATCAGAAGACTCGTTTAATTGTGCGCTTAAACCGAAACGACACACAGACACTGGACGGACTCTAGTTAAAAAACAATTAAAGGCTTCTTCTAGGTCCAGCGGAAGAAAAACAATCGCGAGGCGCTTCTTCTGTTCGCCAAAAGTTGCAAGTCCAAAATGACCGACTGTCCTCGGGGAGCTGTTGAAGCGTGGCCAAAGGAGCAGCAGGAGCGTGGCAGCAGAGCCCCAAAAAAACGGAGTGGCATGCACCGAAGCACTTTACACAAAATGGCTTCCTGCCAGGAAGCCTCGGGGACTCCTGTGACTTCATTTGGGTAAGCAAATTTCAAGGAAGTTCTGCGCAGTGTCAAATTATGTTGTGTAGGAACATAGCCCCCAGCTTCACTAATGGATATCCAACAGTCGATTCCTTCTCATTTTTGCCATGTTCGTTTTTCGGGCAAGAGCGGGCAGACCCAAGCCATAAAATGAGGGAACTATGACAAAGGTTTACAAAGCTGGCAAAAGTTCAGGGCAACGTTAATTAATGCAGCTGCCAGAGGTCAACCCACCCAACTCCCCACACACTTTACGGTGCATTAATGAAGTGCACTAAGACGGAGATTTTAGGGCCACTTCAGAGTGTTTCCAGAGTACAAGCAGAACAATGAAACTTACCTTGAAGTGTCCTTGGAGAAGCTCTGCCTGGCCCTTGGTCGGTGGGGACCCGAAAAGAGGGAGAACAGCCTGAAAATCGTTCAAAATAAAGCCATCAATTCAGAGCTGCAGGTTTCTGTTAGTGTCTGTAAACGATTCGTTATGCCTTGCATAATACACAAAGCCAATCAAGGTGTAGCCCCACACTGCTACTCCCCATTGCCACGGCCCGGTTGGCTCTACAAAGTTCCCCTTGAGATCAGCTAAGAGTAAACTTTCGACCATGAGACATCCCTCTCTTGGCTGCATGGATAATGTTTCGGTTAAGCTGCTGCTTGTGGTTTTACTTTTGGCGCACACACAGGCGCAAGTGCTGAGCGAGTGGCTGCTGCACAGACACATTGCGGGGCGACAGCGGGAGCCGCCTGGCAGCCTGATCTGCCATCCACCACTGATGTTGGCCTTTCAGGCGCTGTTTCTCCTGTCGGATGGACGCACCCGCGAGCAGATGAACGGCAAGTGGAAGGGTCCCCCGGAGGCAGGCATATCCGGAGCATGGCCCAAGGTTGCGGGATTCAGAAGCCTTCTGGTGCAGCCCATGGAGATTCCCGACGCGGCACGCAGTGCGCTGAGGCGAGTGAGCGACTTGGAGATCATGGATTTCGAGTCTCCGGGCACGAGTCTGTTTGACATCAATCAACGACTGGAGGTCTTCACGAGTCCGCTGGTGGAGAGCCTTGTGAAGAGGCGCCACCTGAGCAGGGACACCCAGATGATATCCCTCAGCGCCGGCGCCTTTGAGGGCTACTGGGAACGACCCTTTGCCCGGGAGAACACCCAATTCCGTCGCTTTCACAGTCAAGGCGGACGCATTGTGGCCATTCCCACCATGTACCAGGCGGGATCCCACTACTCCTACGCCAAGCTGGCCGACGCGGAGATGCTCCTCGTGCCGCTGGCTGGCAACACAAACGTCCAGTTCATGATCCTCTTGAGCTCCATCGAGTTCCGGGACGGTAAGCCCATCAGATACATCGTTCCACGACACGACAACCTCACGGGTCTGCTGACCCTCGGAAAGCGGCAGCTGGTGGACTTGCAGCTGCCAAAAATGCAATTCTCCTACGCCGTGGAGCTCGTGCCCGACATACTCAACGGCTTGGGGCTGTCCGATCTGCACAGCGAAGCGGCGAGCTTCGGCAGGCTCTCGAATGAGACGAAACTGCGACTGTCCAGCATGTTGCACACCGCAGCCATCGACCTGGATGAGAGCGGCATCAACGTGGTGAAGCGGAGCCATCGGGCAGGAGAAGGCGGGTTCCTTAAACTGAAAAGATTTGATCAGTAATCAGTGATGATATTCCAATTGCAGATGGAGTGGGCTCCGCCCAGGCTAATGGTGTGAAATTCTTTGCGGATCGACCCTTTTTCTTTGCCCTGCTCGACCAGCGGCAGGTCTACTTCACGGGCGAGTTCTGGGATCCGTGAGCATTAAACGAAAGACATGTCTAAATGTGCCACAAGTCCATTAACTTTGCACCAGGGCTGTGTGGGGTAACTCTTAATTTGCGACTCCTGTTGCAGGGTCCTGCCTGTGGACCCACATTAGGAATGTGTAATGAAGCTGCCTCTTGCTCTGCTAATGACCCGAGTGAGACGCTGCTGCTGGGGCTTGTTGCTTGCACGAGTTCCTCGGGTTGATGGCCTGGTTAGGCAGCGGCTTATGCGGCGTATGCGCAATGTTATCACAAGTTCCTGTTGACCAGAGCATGAAAAGTTTGTCCCAAAGTCAAGGGGCCTCTCGTCTGCATGAATTGATTGACACGGGAAGCGGCAACAACAGCAACAACAGCAACAGGGCCAACAGCCACACACAAATGGTGACTGCAAAACAACTTTATTTGCGAGAGAGAAGTGGCATTCATGAAATATTCATGCAGGCAACAAAAGTACACACAAAACCAGGCTGTTGCCAGAGGAAGGAGTTGCGGGAGGCAACTGTCAGGGCCTGGAGAGGCCATACAATTTATTTGTGGCACCACCAGTGGCAGAGCAGAGCAGAGTGGAGGCCAGGCAATTGTTTGCCGCTTTTTACTGTCACTGGAAACTATTGTGTCTATCGAGAGCGTCTAATCCATAGTTAGGCTAGATTAAAAACAAGTTTTAAATGGCCAAAAGTTCACTTTAAACGCTGCTTATCGATCCTCCTCCACGCTTCGGAACCCAATTTTTCAATCTATATTTATCGATGGAGGACTTTGTACCTTTTTTTGTTTAGAAAATTCAATTCAATTCCACACTCAAACTGTTATTGTTTGAGAATTCCTTTATCTATATAAATTGTTCCGGATGCTTTTTGCCATCGCCTTATCCCATTTCAATCTCCTGTGTCCTCCTCTGGGCACGACTGCCTCTGCTGTGCGGCTGTGGGGAAACCATTTATTTGGTTAGCTTGGGATTGACCCACATTTGACACAGCTTAAGTTTCTCCATTCCCATATACGAACAGGCGATGTTTGTCCACGCTGATAGTCCCCGAGCAGGCTACCAGAGCCACCTCGCCTCGCCTCGCCTCGCCTCACCTCACGACCCTGAGCTGAGTAGGAGACCAGCAGAAGCAGCAGCAGCAGCAGCAGAGGCAGAGGCAAACTTTTAAAGCGTCCAAGCCAATGGCATCGATGTCGTCTGGCACTACACAAACTATAAATTGGCTTAAGCCCCCCGACAGTCAGCCAGCCAGGCAGCCAGCCAGCCTGCGACCAGTTTGTGAGTGTGTTCCCATTCTCGACTCCAAAAAGAGCAGAAGATGGAGCTGGCGGAGGATCCGGAATGGGAGGATGGCACTGCTGTACAACGTTTGACACTTTTGAACCTTGATGTACGGCATTCAATCTGTGAATCGGCGGGTCTGCTCGGTTCGGTTCGGTTCGGGTCGGGTCGGAGGGGGCACGCTCTCAGCAGAAAAGTTTCTTTGTGGCTTGTCATGTTTTTCATTTGATTTTCAATGATTTTTTGCTAATTTTCGCTGGCATTCACTTTGACAAACACTGCGTCCGGCCAGATTCCCACGACAGTCTGTGCCATCGTCATTGACTTTTACCCGATGCCCGCCCGATTGGTGATGCCCGCCGATACCTGTTTTTGCCATTTCCATTTCCATTTCGATTTCGCTTCTGTGCAGCTCTTCTGCTGCATAGATTACAAGTGGAAATGTTTTAAGTGCCCCCAAGCCAAAGTTATTATTATGATTAGGATGAAATGAGTTTTTGTTTGTTTGTGGGCAATGCAAAATGGAAACTTTTACTTGCAGTGCAAATCATGGGCATGACCAATCAAGGCAATAGTTTCTATGGTCCATTCCCCGTTTGGGGACTCAGAAAGTCAGACGAAACGGAGAAAATCAAGTACCACTCATAGCTCAACACAAACCGAAACTCAGAACGGGAATTCGCATCCATCTTCATCATCATTAGGGGCACTAGGGGGGCCACGGCATAAAGGCGGCCTCCCACAGCATTCTTTCCTGGCACGGAAATTAAAAATTCATCTAGGGAATTTTGCGTTTCTTTTGCTCTTGGGTATTCGTTTTAAATGAATATTAATTGCGATTCCGATTGCGTTTGCTTTGCGTTTGCATTTTCTCCACAATAATTGGGCCTGGCCTCCATCTGCCATGCCAAGCGGCATTCAACACGGGTGGGGGCAGGGACTCCATAATGTCGAGGTTTCGGCATCGACAACCACCGCCTTTTGATTCTATTAAATGCAGCAGGAGCCCGAATAAAGTGCCTGGATTCCCACAATAGAAGGCCCTTCGCTCAAGCACAGCGATTACACTGCGAGAACAGCAAGCCAAGTAGGTTAAAGCGGGATGGAGCAACTCATGCATGCCAGAGAGGGATGCATGCAAAATACAGTAAAACACACACACACACAAACACACACTCCCACACGCGCACTCAAATCTCAACGCGCACTTTGAGGTTAAACGCGACTTGAAAATTATGAAATCGTCCAGCAAAACATAAAGTAACAAGTAAGTTGGCAATTTTCTTGAGTGTTGGCCACAATGCTGTTTCTCGAGTTGAGTTGAGTGTGTGCGGCGGTTGCAGCCTTACATTCTGCCGCATAGAAAAGCCAACCTACCAACAACTTGCTGGCGGAATTATGAAAATTGAATCTTCTCTCTGGAAAGTTCCACCCCGCCCACAACCGCAGGAGCGCCGCGAGTAGAGATTTGCTCAATTTGCATTTGCCCAGACCCAATATTTGGCTGTACTTTTGCTTACAGCTTCAATTAGCAATTGATTGGGTCTAACGTGCGTTAGGGCAGGGGCAACACGGCAAGAACAACGCAAAATCCACATTCAATCAAGCCAATTGTTGTTCTAGAACTGCCCTGTGGCCAATAGACAGATCGCATATATTGTTTATAAGCCTCTTACCTCTTACCAGAAAACAATTTGCACGCATGCCGGCAATCCAAGCTACGGCGGCCACTCCACTGCTACGTTGCATATCTTTTTATGTAATCAGACACACATTAATCCAAATCACATTAATCAAGGAGCAGCACACTGGTCTTAGTATCACAACGAGAACACTTTTTAAAACAATTTCCAACAACAATAAATCACAGCGCGGCATGTGGCGCATAAAAGTGCGGATTTTGATCTACCCCTAACGCGTCCGTGTGATCGGGAGCAGTGTTGCATAATGTACGTATCCTTTGACCGCCGATAACAAACCAAAAATGTTGTTTCCCACCAAATTTGAGGTTCAGGCGATGCGACCAGTTGGAAAAACAAGATAAATAAACGCTCAAGTCTAAATAATAATTTGTATATTTTGAATCCTTCCTACACACATGCGTGAGTATCGTTGTGCTGCTTTCAGTGTTGACAATTATCGCAGAGCAGAGCAACAACAACGAATAAACACAATTTGTGGAGAAAAAATGTGCTCTATGAGGTAAATATTTATCGCTAAGTGGGGCTGCATCATCAATCTTTGTCATCCGTTGATTCTTCCCCAGTATCTGCGTCTTTTGCGTCTTTGGAGTCTTCGGAGCCCGGGGCCAGCTTGCGGCCCAGATCAGGACCAGCCGGTGGGAATTGCGGACTTCCACCTCCAACCTTCGCCTGTGGTAAGGAACCGTTGTGGGAGTCCTCATCGTCGTCGCCGACTTGACACACCTCCAGCTTCCGGCAAGCGCCGTTGTTCCTCACGATGAAAGCCTCCTGGCAGCCACAGCCGCTGTTGCAGCGATGGAAGCACTCCCGCCCGTGGCAGCTGCCTCGGCAGTAATGGTAGCAGTCGTAGTAGGTGGTGCCCTGGCAGGGAACCGCCATGTGGGCGCTCGCCAGCTGGAGCAGCAGCGAGCAAAGAGCCGCAAGGATGCAAGACCTCATTGCGGCAGTGGCAAATAGCGACAAAAACTGCCGCATCGAAAGTCGCATTCCCCAGAGCGTGACTCTCGGCCGATGGCCAATCGGAAATGCAATTGGAAAGCGTACGTATCGAATCGAATTTATTTGCTATGCACTTAAGTAACAGCTTGATTCTAGGCAGGATTTCGACAATGTTCCTTTGCGAACACTCTTGGAAATCCTCAAGCCCACAAGCCCTGGCGCGGCACTCCAGCTGCGCTCGCCAGGAGGCAGAGGTAGACAACGTGTGAGTGAAGGATCCTGTGGATCCAGAAGGCACTGCAGCGGATTCAGCGCTGCCTGCACATTAAAATTGCATAATTAAGCCAACTTATTTCAGGTCGCCGCACATCTAGTCCCTTGGCGGCGGGCCACGTGGTCGCAGGACGCTCTCGAGCAGATTCGGACCGGGCTGGTTCTTGGGCCTGGGCGTTGGCGTCAGCGAGCGTGTGTGCGGTGGAGCGTCCTCCTTCTTGTGAACGGCAGAGGTGGCCGCACGGCGCAGGCGAATCTTCTCCTCCATTTTGCTGGGCACCATGAAGCAGTTGGACTCCTTGTAGACCGGCTTGCGGCGATCGTTCCAGGGGAAGGTCCACACGATGGGCGTGAAGTCGCGCCTCCATGGCTTCCTGGGCTTGAACCAGCAGTCGCAGGTCCAGTCCTCCTCGCCAGGAGCATCGTCATCGCCACGCACATAGACACGAACGTAGCGCGAGGACTTGCGGAAGAGGTCGAGGGCCTCGTTAAAGGTCAAATCCAGCGCTGGGACATCGTTGATCTGCGTGATCTCATCGCCGACGCGCATGCCGCCGCGCTTGGCCAGCCCCGTGGACGACACACTGATGATGGTGAGCGGCTCGAACTGGTCGAAGCCGCCCGACACCTCCATGCCCCACATGGCATCGTAGAAGCTCATGATGCGGCGATCCGTCTCCAAGGTGTACGTCATCTGGAGCTCGTACTCGACATTGTCGAACGCCTCCGAGTCGTACTTGGGCACCTTAATCTTTGAGTCGAACATTTCTGATCTCAACAGTAGGTGATCGATCCTCTTGTGTCCCTGGCAAATGGAAACTACAACTGAAGCTGCTGCAAGTCGCAAGTGAACGTACGTGTGGCACTGTCTCGCCCAGCGTCAAAGTTGTCTGCCGTTGGGGGTGTGCATGGGTTGCTTTTATAGCCGCTAATTGGCAGATTTGGCAGATTTGGCAGCCTCTAACGCGATCCCTCGAAGGCCAATGTCATTGTTGTTCAATCGGTTTGCCAAGTGCAGTGGGCACCATGTACGGAAGGAAATCTCTGATGAGTGTCGGTGAGCTCGCCGATCGGTTCGTTCGCTTTCATGTGCCTTGAGGGGGAAATCAATTCAATTGATTTGCATTTAATTGTTGTCTATTTTTAGTGGCTGTGATTTTGGCTGACGGAAACAGCGGCCGACCCCCAAAGCAGGCCGAAGAGGAAGAGGAACCCATGGCCGCATTTGGCCATTGAAAGTGGAGCCGCTGCGAGAGCCAAGGGAAACGAAAGCCAACCAAGACCAAGTGCACTTCCAGCTGCAGCTCTTCTGCAACGCTACGGCAAGTGCTAACAACCTGTCCAAGCTTCCACGCGATTTGATTTCACTGACCTCAATTGCAGCCCGCCGCTGGGGGACTGGGGACAGCTTCTGCCTGGCGACTATTGAATTATTCATTTGGTCAGACCAAAATGCAACAAAAGAAGAAGGAAGACCAGCGACAAAAGTCCATAAAATACTCTTGTGGCCAGCTACGAGGGAGAGCAGCGTCGAAATGGCAACTGGCAACTGGCAAATGGCAAACAGTGACAACTCGCCTAATTACAACGAGTCTTTGGCTCTGGAAACTGCAGCCGCTGCAGAGTAAATTTGTCCACTCAAAGAGTGCTTGAACCAACACAAATTCCTGGCCTGGAGAGTGGCTCATGCTGGGGCTTATGCAACGGCTCTGTGATGTCTGCACCCGGGGATTTGCATCGCCGAGCGTGGCAAGCTTTTGTTTACTTGGAATGGAATTTCCAAGCAACAATAGAAAGGATTTTGAGCGGAGTGAGCGAAGCGAAGCGACCATGGAATTGAGGCAATTACTTAGCAGGTGCCAGACAACAATTGGGATTAGATACAAGTAGTGCCTCAGGCAAACTTCATTTGATGCTATCTTCATGTGGGTCACGCTCCCACCCTAACTCTGTCTTTATCGGACATTCAACACTCACGAATTGTCTTCCATTTTGCTATATAAGCGGACGGGTATGTGCAGTGATGTCAAAGTGAATCAACATGAAGCTTCCCCGACTGTTTCGTGAGTATTTAAAGTTATTTAGAAAGCGAAAAGTCGAACCTTTACGTTTACAGTGCTCTGCGGCACCCTGCTGCTGGTGATGCCACTCGCCTGGGGCATACCCCCAGGCTTATTGGAGTATATCAAAAGGCGTGTGACAAGCTAGTTGGAGTTGCTGCAATCTCCGATGTCTTATTGTATTTTAAAAGTTATTTTGAAACATAAATCATGTAAAATACACCGACCAACTGGATGGTTAGTGCAAGTTTCTAATTGAAAAATGAAACATTTGCCACAATGATGTACGGTTTGCTCTGCCTCGCAAACTCCTTGTATGCTCTGGTACTTTTATTTGCAAAATGTATCATTTATTGTACACTTTAATCGTCAAAGCAGCGCAGTTGGTTCAACTTTCGTTCCACGGGCCTCAGCAGTTCGACGGCGACCGAAAACAGTTGGAGGAGGCAATCGGGCTTGTGGTAGATGGCCCTCTTGGCGAATTGATGCACGATGCGAATGTACTTCAGGAAGCTGGCACTACGATCCATCCTGGGGCGGTAGTCGATGCACAGAACCAAGATCTTCAGCGTGGGAATGGAGTTCTCCATCACCAAGGCAATGCCCTCGTTGATCGTCTCTAAGCACTGCAGAGACCTGCTCAATTTATCCGAAAAGCCCTGCACCTGACTCGTGTGGCACAGCTGGGTGACGATTGAATGATGGCTCGAATCGGATTGGGTTGGACAGAGTAGGGGCATATACTCACAGACATTAGGCTCAGCAACAAGGAGATCTTGATCAAATGCATTTTTGGGCTTTCAATGTCTTCGTGCGTGTGCGGCTTGACGGCTTGACGGCTCCAGACCCAAAGTTTGAGCCAGCAACAGCAACGTGCCCTATATATAGGCCACAGGATAATGCCATTGGCCATGCACGCGGCCATCGCAAATGATGAATTTCAGGCTATTGGGAGCGCATTCCCGACAGCTTATCCATAATCCATAGCGAATTGAGTCCGAGCAAAGCGAATGAAGTCTGACCTCGAATGGAAACCCATTTCTGATTGGGTAATCTTGAAGCCTATCGGTTGATAATTTGTAAGCTCAAATTTAGATTATGGAAAGCAGCGGAATTCGCCTTTAAGATATTCCTTCTAGCTAAAGTTGAGTGCAAATTTCTTGTGGAAAAACTTAAAAATTTGATTGCTATTTTGGCATGGAAATATGCTCTCGATTTATTGCAATTATATACATTCGTATATCCCTTCTAGAAGATATAATCTTTCTCTTCCAGGCATTCCAGCTGCTCGATTTGTTCGGAATATGGTCTGATCAGATCCGTTGCCTGGGTGACCAACAGCCTCAGGCACTTTGGCCTCTCCAAGACGAGCCGCTTGATGAATCGATAAATGTTCTTCAAGTACCAAATTCCCGTTTTTCGCTTGCCATCCTTCGGGGGTAGAGCCGTGTAGAAGGAGCATATCTGCATCTCGTAGACCGCTGGAATGATATTGGTGATCAACTTTGCCACCGTCTCGACGCCCACCTGGGCGCACTTGCTCAGCTTGCTCCATTGATCGTTGAGCTTGGCCTGTGCTGTGGCTTGCCTCGGCACCAGACAGATCTGTGGATCACGTTAACTATGCTTCAAAAATGTCGCTGAAAATACTCACAGCCAAAAAGCCCAGCAGAATAATGGACCTGAGCACGTTCATTCTTCGTTTCTGGTCGGTAAATGGATATGCGAATGAAGTGTCTGCCCGATCAGCTGTCCTATTTATAGAGCCTCAGACAACTGCATTCGTCAAGCTTTGGGCCATTGCTAACGTTTCCCTTTGCACTTTAATTCATGGAATGCATAAATCTGTTCAATTAGATTAGAGCTTCGAGGTGTGGAAAGTATTTTCAATGCTTATATAATAGCCTAATGGGTTCTGCCTATGGCCTTGACGGTCTGTCGCCCCCAGAGATTACAAGGTCAAGGTTCGAGAGAAAAAATGGTATAGGAGCTCAGCGAGAAGTAATTCATTTCTAGTATACCCAACTGCTATGTTTGTCCCATCCTTAAACCAACTAAAACTTCGAGGAAGAATTTCTTTGCTTCAAGTAGAGCGCAGGAGCCGCAGCTCTAGGAATTTATTTCAATAATGAAAAACGCATTGAAAATTGAATTGTCCACTAGGCGAGGCAGTTCAAGGCATCAATCTTGTCCACGAATGGCATTAGGGCGTTGGCAGTGCCCTTCAGGGGATCCAGCAGGCAGCTTTGCTTCTCGTAAACGGTTTTCCGCAGCAACTCGTAGAGGTTCTTCAGAGTTCTAAGGTAGCTGGACTCGGTATTGAGGATCGGCTCGTAGTCGATGCACTCGTATAGGGAACGCAACGTGGGGATGGCATCGCGCAGCAATCTGGCATATGCCCGGGCGCCAACATGGGTGCATTCCACCCAAGAGTCCCAGCTCTCGGAACTGCTACGATGGGCCATAGACAACGCCTGACAGATGGGGGATTGTTAGGTAACTAGAGACTCAGCTGTGACTGACCTTTCGCTGCTCTACTCACAACGAACGCGCTCAGCAATAGGGCGGCTTTGATCAGATTCATGCTGGGCTCTCTCTTTGGCTTGTCTCTTGATGCTCTCGGCTAAGCGGCTGCAGACCAAACGTTGCAGCCAGCCGCAGATTGTGCTCTATTTATAGGCCACAGGACAATCGCATTCGCAGTGCTGGCTGCCTGCTGCTAACAATTAATTTCACGCCCTCCAAGGTCACGCTTCTGGCGATTTAGATTTGGATTTCCATTTGGGAAAACAGATCAGCTTTCTTCTTCAAGTGAAACCCTTTTTATTGCGAGCTTTTGTCAACATAATGGAGGCTTGACAAACAAATAGGAGCACTGCAAGGAGCTCATCTTCTCCAGGTTCGGACCCAGGACGCTCGACAGCGTCATGTAGGCATTCAGCAGGCAGGTCAGCCGCTCGCCCATCAATGCCTTGTGCACAAACTGATAGATGATCACCAGCAGCTGCACCCTGCTCACCCTGGCAGTGCTGATCTTGGGCGCATAGCCCACGCAGTTCAGCAGCTCCTTCATCAGCGGCATGATCTTGGCCGCAACACTCGCCGTGAGCTCCAAGGCAATCTCCACACAATGCCCGACCTTGACCAGATTGATCTTCTGCCCTGCCGTGGGCGCAGTGAAGTGCAGCAGCTAAAAGTAGGGAATGGGAATGCTAGTAGCTAGTAGCTGTAGCTGATGGCTGCCAAGTCTCAGAACTTACAAGCAGACAGCTGAGGAGCAGCGCAACCTTCACTCTGTGCATGCTGGGGGAAGTGTGTGAGCAATCGTCATGGTTTGAGCTGCTTATATACAGAGCTGCTGGCTGCTCTTTTATTTGTTCTCTACAAGTCTTTGGGCATGCAGGAGCTTGCCACGCCCAGGTACATGCATCTATAGGTTTTCAGTCTCGCGAAATGCGGCCCCAAAAGTTTCTTCACCGCCTCGGCCACATCGAGCAGACAGGAGGGACTCTGCACGAGTTCCACCACGAACTTTGAGGCCACCTCTTTGAAAGTTCTGCCATCGAGTGAGGTTACATTCTGCGAGGTCTTGAAGCCCACACACTCGAACATTGTCCTCGCTATGGGCGTGGCCCCGCGGCTGAGATCTGAAGTCGCCTGCAGTAAGATCTGAATGCAAACGCCAATCTGCTTGAGGTTGTACGTCTGGGCATGCGACAGTAGCTGCAAAAGGATTCCAGGATTAAAGAATTTCGTCACTCTGTTGAAGCATTTATTACCAAGAAAAAGCTCAGAACTACAGCAAACCGCAGGCACTGCATGCTGGCGAGAACTGTCTGGCGGCATGCTTGAAAACCCAATTTATATGCTGCCATAACAGTCGCTAACCCACTCGTGGCAGACAGCTTTGCGGCACACCAATGTAGCTGCACTGATGGCGGGAATAATTGCTCAAATGGGGCTCCAGGATGTCGCCCACTGCATCGGTCATGTTCCACAGGCAGTCAGGGGCCATGGCCACGTGTTGCAGCAGGCTGAAGCCCATCACCATGGCCATTTGTACATCGATGCTCTCCAAATCGACGAAGATCGTGAGGTTGGTACACTTGACGAGGTCTCTCAGCAGTGGCATGCCAGTGCTTGCAATGGCGGAAATTGCTTCCAGAAAGATCCGCCAGCAGACGTTCATGACGCCCAGGCTGTACTCCTCACCATACAGAAGGGGGACCATAAGCTGTGCCGACCCAAGGATTACTTTTTCATTATGTGCAGCCATAAATGTACTTTCGATTCTCTCACCAACAGACAGCCAAGCAGCCGAATCAACTTCATGCTTGCCATAACCCCAAGCCACTGAAGGAAGGAAGGCAGAACTTATGATTTCTTTATACGTAAAGCTGTCGCCTGACAACAATCAAATCGATTTCATACGCTTCTTCATTTACTTGAGACTTATGTCTAGGGATAATCCCTAGTTGTTCAGGCACTTTAATTCGTTGATCGTTTTGGCAAACGGAGCAAGCAGATTTTTAGTGTCCTGAATGGTGCTCAGCACGCAGTTCTGGTTGCGAACGACCTTTTGAAGGAACTGATAGGCCAGCATCAGCAAGGCCGGCGAGTCCAGACCCTTTGTCTTCAAGGGCGTGAACTGGGCGCAGGTTGCCAGCGACTTGATGGCGGGCACAATCTTCTTGCCCATCTCTGACGCTATTTCGACGCCCAGGTTAAAGCATTTGCCTATCTTTTGAATGTCCATCCCCTCACCGGCACTGGCGGTGTTAACGGATGCCAGGAGCTGTAAAAGTACATTTTGTATGATTAAATTGGATTGGTTTGGTTTTCAAGTGCTTTCTCACTTACCATCAGTGAACAGACGACGAATATGATCTGGATGGACTTCATTGTGCTACTGAGGAACATCCACTGGCACTTTCTCTCTATTTATAGGGATATATGTAGGTAGAGGACTGAGCAGACAGTGTGCTGTAATAACTAAATGGAATATTTAATCAATGTTTTGCGGCTTGCGGCGGAAGTGAAGTCCCCCCCTACCCTACACGTGTCAACTTACGTCTCGCTCGACAATTCGCTTTGGTTTATGTGAGTGAAAAGTAATTGATCATTTACAGATTTTATTTAAAGCCGTTTTATTTTATGTTTCTTTAATAGTGATACGCCCAGGCATATATCGATTGGTTTGATTATACATACACATAGCATAGGTTTCTGTTTGTCTGTCTGTTTTCCATTCCCACTTTGCCGAGACATCGCCTGGCCCTGGCCCTGGCTCCGCCTTTGGTTCGTTCCGCTTTGATCTGTTAACTTTCATTCGTTACGGTGGCCGGCATTCCATTTCCCATCGCAAATATGTATATCCGATTTACATATAGGGGGGGTATACACACACACACATATATATATATATATATTTAGATAGATTTTGAAATGTATTTTATGTACTATATATGCGCATATATAAGTGGAGCTGCTGCTGTGGCTCGCCCTTGTGTGTTGCTTTGTCTTTGTGGTTGCCTTTGGGCCAAAAAGATTGTTGGATAGATAATAAATACATTTAGATATATATATCGTGTCGTGTCGTACAATGGTTAATTGTAATTACAATTCTCTAATATGTTACAATTTGAAGTGAATTCAATAGTTTAACAAATGTTACATTTCGCTACAATAAACACAAAACTCAAGTTCAAACGCGGCCTGCCTTCAATTTCAATTCCTGCCAATCAAATGCTTGATCCAATCTCCAGCTTAAACAAACGCTTAACGCTCCGTGTCGCAAGGATACAGAGGAAAGCGCTTCCCAGCGACAACATGGGGAGCCTCTCACAGCTTGTGATCCGAGCACAAGTGAAGCTCCTATTGCCCGACCTAAGCTCGTGCTCTAACCTAAAGCAGAATACCGGAATGCAGAGAATGCAAGTGGCGCAAAGCAAAAGTTTCAGTTTTCAGTTTTGAGTTTTGAGTTTCTTACTTGGGGAAATGTACAGGTGGCCGTGGCCGTGGCCGTGGCCGTTGCGTGGCGTACTACTCGTAATTTTAGTTTTAAATTATGTTTTTATCAAAACTACAATTGGGTTTGTTTCGTATTTTGATGCTTGAAGCTTTGCAGGTGGTTCCGAGTGGGAGCATAGAGAAGCGACAAACCAGCTTTGTGGTTCTGTGGTTTTGTGGGGGGAAGGGAAAAGCCTTAAAGCGGTCAACACTTGATAATGTTAAATGGCAACTTTTACCTATACATTTATATAGAGAGCAGGGCAGCAGGGCCATTCATAACTCCTCTGTAAAATAGCTGTATATATTTCTTTATCTTTATATATCTGTATCTGTATCTGTATGTAGAACTAACAAGTAGTCGTTATGTTTTGTTTTGTTTTTTATCGAGATTTCGCAATTCTGAGCTGAGCTGCACGCCTATATCCTATATACTGTACGGTCTGGTCTCCTCGCTAACACACACACAAATGATTATTTTCTTTTTTTGGTATAATATTCCTTCTGCGGCATTCTGCTGATTGCCCTGACTTTACGTTTCGCGATGCAACAATATTATGCTTGAAAATTTGTGTATAAACAGCAAATATATAGAGGGGTTTTATACAATAATTCATTAAATATATATATCGTTATGTGTATATAGATATAGTTTGTCCACTAAAATGCACTGTAAGCACTGCGTAAACGTCACATAATTGAATCGCAAATAATCAAATACTCGTGTGTGTTGTTGTACTCTAATCGATCAACATAATATCACGTGGAACACCGAAATAAACTAATTGTTTAACTAAACGACAAATATTTATACAATCGAAACACGAACTAAAGCTATGTACACAAATACCTCCAGAATAGCACGAAACAACTCAAACAGATGGATGGGTTATGCCTGCCTGCCTGCTGGCGCTGCCAACTAATTACAAAATACGATAATCCGTTTGCCGTTTGCTCTTTTCACTCTACTTAATAATTACGTACGCTTTGCATTTGGTTTGCTCTTTTGTTTGCCTTTGCCTTTGCTCTACAATCTCTATGTGAAAATCTCCTGCTATACCGATGGAATCCTTTTAGCTTTTAATCGGTGGACAGCTGCTGCCGCCGCCGACCGATCAATCGGCTGGCCAGGCTCAAGCGCTGTAGCCAGCCATAGCCTGCGTCTCAGTAAACCAAAACGGACTCCATCGTGATCGTATCTCATTTGTTCGCACTGTTTGCATTCGCGGCGCTGCTGGCCTGGATCTGGGAGGCCGTCTGGCTGGCCGGCTCCAAGGTGCGTCGCGCCAGGCGGGATCTACGCGAGGAATAATCACATTAGAAATACTTTTTTAATGGCTGAGACCCTCAAGCTTACTTGATCTGACCAGCCAGCAGAGGATTGATGGCATAGAGCCAGTCGTGCACCTCCTTGTCGCCGAGTGTCTGCAGCAGATAGCCACGATGTTTGGTCACCACACTGCAAAAAGAGAGTTTTTCGTGTAGTTTAAAAGTTCCCTTCCCTCCGTGTGCACTTGAAGGCTTACCTGAAAGTGTTTGGTATCTTGACCATGGCTGCCTGATCCTCGCTGCACTCCACCTGAGCCGTGGCCAGATTGAGAACAGCCCGCTCCACGGGATCCTTCTCCGAGCGATAGATAAACACATAAGGACGTCGCACAGTCTGCAAGGGAAATCAACGATTAGAAGGGAATACCCTGAAGACACAGTACAGGTACAGTACGTACCACCCAGCGTTTCTTCCAGCCCGAACCGCCGTGTTCCAGGACATTCAGCAGTCCCTTGCGGGCCACCACAGGGCTGACGCGAATCTCCTCCAGCTCCGGCACGTACAGCCGCAGGGGCAGAATCGGCTGAGTGGCTGGGGCAGGTGCCTCCCAGCCATTCGGGGCATCGGCGCGATCCGGCGAGCATAGCCTGAGGGGAAAGAGTTGATGGAAAAGTTAGTCCAAGTCACACAGGGAGGCTGTTTGGCGGTATAAGGGGATTTGAGGGTTCTCTGGATAGAACGGAAAAATTACCTGCGTCGAATTACAAATTTGTTGTCTCTAATTGTGTGTAAAAGAAAACCAAAAAGGAAAACAAACAGATGTAAAGTAAAGATTTGAGGATTGTTTTTTGAGTCTCGTTCGAGTTTTGTTTGGTTTTTTGTTAGTTTAGCGATTGAATGGAATCGGATGGATGGGCAGTTAGGGTTTCAGTGAATGCTCGGGTTGCTGCTGCTGCTGCCAGCGTTGTGCTCATGGAAATGGGCGATGTGCTGGAACCATACCGAACCCATACCGGAACCCATACCATATGGAACCCATTTCCAGGCCTCTACAAGGCCTACAGCAAGAAGTGGCCACACATCGAGTGTTTCAATAGAAAGGAAAAGCTTTGAGGGAGCTACACAGAGTGCTGCTGTGACTTATGCAGCGATGAGTGATGCTTGAGGATGGGTGTGGTTGTGGATTTATGTTGTGATCTTGGGTGTGGTGCCAATTTTGTTTGTAGCTAATAAACCAAGAACGCCAGATGGATGCAGCAGAAGCTCTAACTAAGATGTGTCTGTTGGAATGTCTATTTGGGGGCGACTACTCACTCCATGGAGTTGCTGGAGATGCAGCTGACGGTCATGTCGGCGCAGCCCTCATCGCTGGGCGAGACATCCGACTGGGTTTGAGTGTCGTTAGCCTCGTTCTTGGCAAAGCGTCCAGCTACAGAGGGGAAAGAGCAAATCATTAGCCAAATATTGATAAAGAAACCCAATAAATGTTCGACGCACCTTGCACCAGCTTCAAGCACTTGAGCATGAGATCCTGCTCCCGTTGGTTGTACTCGCGTTCTGGCAAGATTTGTTGCGGATCCTTGACCGGCGTTTGCGGCGATTGTGGAATGACCATGTGCACGGGAGAGGTGGCCGCACGGGCAGCCAGATTGCAGACATCCTTCTCCGTTTTGGTGGTCGGATTCGGGTTGGTGTCCATGCCCAGGCGCTCGCGCAACAGCAGCAGATGCCGCATGCGTCCCACCTCCTCGAGGCGCGTCAACTTCTCCAGCTCCCACTGATGGTCGAAGATCAGGGAGTCGCCGCGTGGCCGCCAGCCATGCAGATTCTCCTCGCCACGCACATACGTGGAGCTGGTGTCCAGCACGCGACGCTGCCGACGCTGCACACCTGTGGAGATGTAGGGGAGATTGGGCGGGTCAGAGAGTGGTTCTGTGGAGCAGCTACAGCGAGCGCTGGCTGGCGGGATACGACGAGTACAACTACAATGAGAATTGCTACCTGGACTACCTGCTTCAGATGCTCTACGCAGCGACAGCTCGTACACGCCGGACAGTCGATTGGCCTCCGGATTGCGGTACTGCCCCGAGAACAGATGCTTCAGCGAGCGGGGACCGGTGCGAGCGTCGCGTCCATAGATCACCATGCTCAGATCCTTCGTAACGATGGCCGGGCGAGCGCAGTTCTCCAGCTGTAAGAATAAGTGCCATGAGTGCTGCTCCAAGATTGGAATTGTCTGCCTGGACTCACCTCCAAGTAGGCGCTGAGTGTGATGTAGATGGTCTCGCCGCCCTGCGAGACGCGATTGAGCAGCGCCGAGTTGTGCAGACTCGAGTCCCAGGCGGCCTCGAAGCGATAAAAGGAGCGATCGTCGCCGGGCACGTCCAGCACTTCGCCGGGGAACAGACCCAGCGAGAGCACGCACGCATCCTCATCCTGTTCGTCGGAGGACTCGGGTGTGTTGCGTATGCGTCCCACCACCAGCTCATTGATGTCCTTCCACTTCACCTCGGGCGTGGGCTCGTGCACAATGGTGATGCGAATGCGTCGCTGGATGCCCTGATGCAGCAGGAAGAGCCCGCGGCAGGGAAGATCATCGCTGTGTTCCACCACCTGAGAGGGCGACTCGAGTAGGATTAGTATCAAGTCTGCTCCTATTGGCTTCTCCACTCACCGATGGCACGTACTCTCCGTTGGGTGCCA